CATTAGGATATGAAACTTAGGTCAGCGACCGATTATTATCGCGTATTTTCGCAAAAGTACAAAAGACAGGCAGTGTTTAAGTAAAAGGATAAATGGGTTAGTTCAGAAATATAATATATTGTTAATGTAATATATTCAATTAAGAATCAACTCTTGGCGAGTTGGCAAAAACCAACGAATAATTTTGAATTTATATCTTAGTACGATATGGAAACGACAGGAGACCGGTAATTTTCCGGAAGAGTGGAATGGAACAGCAATCGGACAGCACAGATGGTGAAGACGAACAAAAGCTCTGAAGTTCGTTAGGAAAAAATTTTAAAATGTCTCGGCATCTGCGGAATTGGTTGCCCAGGAACAACACAGCATATGATGAAACCAAACGTTTACCATATGCTGCGAAAGTCATTTGTAAAGCGGCACGGGGTAGGGGGGGGAAGGCTCTCCTGTCATGCGAGTCAGTGAATGCATAAGCAATTGCATACGTATGGAACTAATATGTTGTTGGATCTAAACAGAGTAACTGGTTCCACTACTGATAATGAGGTACTGAAAATGGTAATTAATTAGGTTTGGGTTGCAAATCACTACGTAGCTGCGAGATATGTTGTATTTGAGAAGCGGGGAACACCATCAAAAACTTTCCTGTCAAGCTGGAGAAGAAACGAGCCCTTGATTTCAACCAGATCAAGGAAAATGCAGAATGACTTAGGGGATAGTGCAACACGCGACACGGGATAGACACTTCCCGATGGTAAGAATGCACAGACTTCGTCAGGAAAAGACACTGGTTAAATCAGCGCTTCAAGGAGACATCAATCATCCAAATCTGAGAGAACATCAACCGAGACAAACGATGCAGCTGTGCTCGGATCCGATTAGCCTTGTGGCCCCTGTCGATAAAAAACTGCTAAACAGGCAGCACTGAACAAAAATGACGTCTGAGTCCAGACGTTTGAACAACTAACCGTACGACAAAGCGAACGTCTGAAACTAACCCATTTCTCTACCTTGAAAAAGGCCTGTGACGCATAGGCCAAATCCTCGATATTGATCAATCACGTGATTGGATATTTTGCTGGTGTTGTGAATAAATAAACGGTGTTTTGTGCTGTTTTTACTATGACCACCAAGGCAGTAACGAAATACTCAATATTTACAGATGACCCATGTTTCTCTTCTCAGGTCAATCTCTAATAATCATGATCGAGCACAGTTAATTGTCGGTTACAAAATTCAAAGAATGTTTGTAAATACATCATCAAACAGACAGAACGTGGTCTTCATCGTTATTTTCATCTCGTGGCATGCCTGTTGTTTAAACTTTGTCTCTGAGAAAGGAACAGTGATATCTTACCATTGGATTCAAATGGAACACCAATTTCGCTTAGCCTTTTGATCTTCAACGCAATGAACAGTTCTGAGCCGGCGATTTCACTTATTGAATTTCGAAAACTATTTTCTTCCAGAATCAGAAGAAAATCCCTCAACACCGATATGAAACTGAAGGAAAGGGTTCTGAAGCATCAGGAAATCAGAATTCATTGAATCCAAAAATTGCGGCAAGACCGTAAAATGAATGATTGGCAGTAGTCTGAAAGCTGTACCACCTTTCTTGTGGCGATAACTGAACATCATCGAGCATGGCTACCTCTGAAATGGATAAATTGTCAAACTGTTAACAGACGCATGCGTTTCAACTCGCTCTGTCGTTGCAAACTCATCGCTACCCTCTTGTGACCTTCCGTCGGTTTTGAGACATTTAAGACAAATGGCATTGGGCAAAGTCACGACCTTTCCCCCAAGGCAGAGCTCCTCACTCAAACAACATGAAGGCAACTGCATCAGGTTTGACTCTACTCCCAGGCGGCTTGTCACACTGAGATTCAAGATTGTTGGGTTTTTGCTTCAGATTCAACAGGGTTGTGCACTCCGCAACAACGTCAATTATCATTCTGTAGGGGCTCTCAACGTAAACAGTGATTAACTGCTATTACCAGTCACATTGAAACTACCACTATCCCTTGAGGAAGGTCAGTGACATGAGGCATAGTACGTGAAAGACGCATAGCGTTGTATTTTCTCAGGTCTTCGCTGCCAAAACTAAGAATTATGTTTGTCCCCTTATTTTCTTGGTATTGCCAATGCAGCTTGTCCAGCTTACTACTCTTCATGAGGCATAATAAAGATTCGTGATGCTGGCCGATACAACGAGAGAATTTAACCTTACTTTTTCAGGAATCAATGTCTGGGTTTTATTGTAGGAATCCAAATTCTGAAAGAGTTTGCTTGGAAGGCATAAGGAAGTCCGTAAACCATTAACTGTCATTCCTTCGTTAGTCTATCATCTAGAGGTTCATGAGAGATTTCTGTGATTGCCAAAAAACATTGCCTTGCGTCTTATCCCATACTTTAGTTCTCATGTGCTCTTCGCCAAAAGTTAATTAACTATAGAGCGAAGTATAATCGTCTGTCAAATTTGAAACTGGTTTCCCGTTTCACTTACCTACGGATCTTTTTGGCAATACTGTAAAATCAGTCGTCAATCAGCTTGCTAATCGCATATTCAGGGATTCTTACTTTAAGCTGCTTCGTTACCAGCTTCCATGAAACACTGACTATGGATGCTCTGTCTGAAAAGTACTTTATACTGCCTTCTTTCTGTTGATTAGTACTTCAGTTTTTTGGCGAAATACGATCGAGGCAAATCTTAATTACAAGAGCATCTGTACCGATAATTTTTTATTTATTACAATGAAGAATATTGCGTTTCTCTCGTAGGCTAGAATTAATCTTGAAAATCTAGAATTGATCTGACAGCATCTTCGTCAGAGCTAATGAGCCTGGTCTTTGCAGCTGTGCTGCTCCAGTGACTTTGCCGTTAGCCGGCCATCAGAGCAACAACAATGGTTCGTGGATGTACCATGAGTTTGTTTCGACGAATTTCATTGACACGTTGTGATGAAATTTGCCACTCTTTCGCCACCAACTCACAAGCCCAATAAACACTAGTTTTAACGTTGCAAAACTAACTACATCGCTTGTTACTGAACAACTCAACGGCTTTGATTCCTCGTCGCCTTTAAATGTCATTTTTACAATTTTATTAATATTTCAGCTGTTTTCAAATGTTCCGCAGTACTGCTCCAGACGGTTCTTAAAGCTTGCTTTGTACAGTATCATTCCAACAAGAATGATAATAAGACATCCAATGTGGTCGATGATTCATATTTGATTTAGTGTAAAAACCTCATTTATAGTTTCTGCAAAACAGATGTCTAAACTGCAAACTAAGCTGACAGGCACGAACATTAAAATATAAATTTTCAGAATCGAGAATTCGGAGTCCCTCGGATATAACAGGGCAATGGGAAAAATTGTAAGTCGTTTCGATCATTTGGAGTGGTCAGAAATCAGAGCGAATCCAGCCCACTGTCATTTCTTGCGGCTTCAAGATTCCCTCCCCCTCTCCACGCACGGCCTTACGGTTCCTCGTTTAATCTGTTCACCGTTGGGGAGGGTGACCCTGCAGCATAGTTCCCCGTGAGGCTACCAGTCGACGATCATCGTCGACTATCTTCCGCCTGTGAGTCGAGCTCTGAGCCGGCCATAACAGGTTTCACTTTCTGCTTCCGACGAGGGCGTCCTTCATTTC